TTGTTAGTTAAATAATCATTTTTATTACAATTAAACAATTGAAATAGTCGATTCTCACTTTTTTTCAATTTTATTTTATAGTTTTACGTTGTAGTGTAAATGTTTACATTTATATGAATTATTTTTTTTTAAGGCTATTTGTATGTTTATTATAAATTGTGAACAATCACATTATATTTTAATATGAATTTTATTTTTTTGAAAGTTAGTTGTATGTTTGTTATTTATTGTGAACATTTACATTATACTTTAATATGTGTTTTTTTTTTTTCAAAAGTTAGTTGTACGTTTATTGTTTACTGTGAACATTCACATTATATTTTAATTTTCATTCAACTTTTTCGTTGAGTTATTTTTAAAATTTTCAAATTATAAAAAAGTTCAAAATTCATAATTTGATATTTTCTCCATGGAATGTGGGAGAGAATTTCGGCTTAGAATCAGAGAGAGATTTTCTCTATAGAATAAAGAAAATATTCTCTCTTTAGAATGAGAGAGATTTTCTCTATAAAATAATGGACTATTGTTATGTATTAGTTTCAAAATAGAAACATATACAACAAAATTAAAAATGATGATTTAATCATATTATATAAAACAAGACTTAATGAAATACTAAAAAAAAAAATATATGAATTAAATGTAATAAAACACTTAAAAAAAGGAATTTATCAAAAAATCACCCAACTAGAAATTCAAAAACAGCTCGAAATTCAAAACAGAATTTTCATTTGTAGGGCCCACAAGCACCCTTTACAAATAATTTTTTACTATCACAATGTATTCTTGATAGCTACTGTTGGAGAATATTGACTCGCCCTTTCTTTTTGAGCACAGACTCCCCCTTTCGAGATACATATCGCCTCATAGGTTTTGAAAAAAACAACTAGTGCGTTTGGTTTGAATTTTTTAAATTATATTTTTTTTATTTTTTATAATTTTTTATTTTTAATAAATATTTTTTAAATTTTAAGTATTTTTTTATTTTTTTAGATATATTTACTTAAATGTGTTTAAAAAATAAAATATTTTAAAAAATTAATAAATACACCAAAAAAATGTACTGAATTTTCATATTTTTTTATATTTTTGGTATTTAGTGAATTTTTTAAATATTTTTTCACAAAAATTATACTTTTTAAATGTATTTTTATTAGGTGTGTCTAAAAATTAAAAAAAAATGCTTAAAATATTAAAAAAAGTAAAATTTTCTGAAAAGTGTTTTCAGAAAACTCAAACCAAGCAAAGTGATTTTTTTTGTGATTTCAATAATTGCAAAAATCTTCCTTCTTTTAACTGACATTATTAAGATTCTCTCAATCCATGACTGTCTTTACATGACCTAACAAAAAGTGTTGATATTACTCAATATAAATTATGAAATGCCAAAAATACCCTCACTGCCTTTTAATTCATCCATCTTCTACAGTCTCACTGCCTTCTAATTCACCTTCTACTCGTGTCATCACCAGTACCAACCCATTCACCATTGCCGCACCTCCCACAAAATCAGAAATACACATAAAGGTATATATATGTAAGATATTTATGTATACATATGTATATATATCAAACATATATATATTAAATCAATTTTTTTTTAATTCAATCAAGCATATATATATATATATATATTACATAATGTAAGACGCAACTGACCAAACCCACCACAAACCACCCACCGCAAACCACATTCACACCTTAAACCCACAAATCTGTTAAACAACTCACCCCTAATGCCTCAACCCCACTAGATTTATTAAACCCACCATCGTTGCCTTAACCCATTTGCGTTTGATTTCAAAAATCAATTCTACAAAGAGAGATGAGGTTTACATCGAAGGTCAAAAAAATTGAGTAAAAAATCTTTTGTTGCAGTCATGAGAAATGAAAAAAAAAAGAAAAAAAAAAAGGAAAGGCAAAGAAAAGAAATAATGAAGAGTATAAAATTTAGAAAGATGGGATCTAATTTACAATGGGTTATGGGTCTTGAGAGAAGAAAGAGAAAAATATGTTGCAGTAGATGAAAGATAAGAAACTAACTCTGCCCCACAACTCATTATAAAGAAAAACAATCAATTATGTTCCATTTGGTCACCCAAAAAATAATAGAAAATAAATAATAAATAAAAATTCAATCCAAACCAACACCCAACTGATACAAAGCAAAATTTTTTACATTCTTAAACCAAAATAGCAAAATACCAAACCTGATAACTTATTATTTTCTCTTTAAACATTTTCCCAACAATCCATATACACACATATATATATATATATATATATATACAAATCAAAAATTAAACATTAAAGAGCACATTCTAGATATACACCCAATTGATCTAAAGCAAAATTTTCAACTTTCTTGCACTAAATTAGCAAAAAAAAATGACCCAAACAAACACATATATATATATATATATAGAGAGAGAGAGATGGTTGGTGCCTTTGGATTTGGTGTTTCCATGATTCGAGGTAGGACTGGGTGGCCTGAACTTGATCATTAGTAGGTAGCTAAGGAACGAGAAAATCGTGCCCCTTTTCTTCTTTTCTTCCTCCTCCTCATTTTCTTCTTTTTCTTTTGATCGCAACCCATATACTGTCCCAAACCCAAATTGTGACCCAACTTTGTTAACTTGATCATTAGTCGGTAGCTAAGGAACGAGAAAATCGTGCCCCTTTTCTTCTTTTCTTCTTTCTCCTCATTTTCTTCTTTTTCTTCTGATCGCAACCCATATACTGTCCCAAACCCAAATTGTGACCCAACTTTGTTTCCATCACCGCTCTCAAAACCATAGATCTAGGATTAGGGTTTTGAAATAATAAGAAGAAGAGGAGAGGAAGAGGAAAAGCGGGCGACAAATGGCAGAGGAGATGGAGTGGATAGAGAAAAATAGAAGGAGGAAGAGGAAAGGCGGAGGTGGCAGACGAAAAACAACATACGACAGAAATAAGGAGAGAAAGAAGATGCCCTAATGGTGCCGGCGATGAGGAGCTTCTCTCTTTCGTTTTGATCTGCCAAACAAAAACAAAAAACAAATAAATAAATATAAAAAAAAAAAAACAAACAAACAAACAAACAAAGTTGAACATGGTGAAGAGTGGGTTAACAATCAAAGGATATTTTCATCTTTTAGTACTCAAATAAAAGGGTAATATGGTCATTTTGTATAGGAAAATAACGTCATTTGTGCAAAATTGATAGATTAGAAGAATCTTAATATTGTCAATTAAAGTATGGGAGATTTCTGTAATTACTAAAATCACATGGGAGATCTCTATATTTGTCAAAAACCTCTTGGGAGATAAGTGTAATTTATCCTATATTATTTGAGACTCGTGTCTACTAAAAATAGAAAAAATTATCATTGAATGAAATTTTCATAAAATAATTATATATTCATAAAAATATTTAAAATTTAAAAAATTTATTCATGTATTTATGGTATTTAGTGAATTTTTAAAATATTTTTTCACAAAAATTATACTTTTTAAGTGTATTTATGTTAGGTGTGTCTAAAAATTAAAAAAATATGCTTAAAATATTAAAAAAAATTCAGTAAAAACAAAAAAAAAATACAGAAAACAAAAAGTAAAATTTTCTAAAAAGTGTTTTCAGAAAACTCAAACCAAGCAAAGTGATTTTTTATGTGATTTCAATAACTACAAAAATCTTCCTTCCTTTAACTGACATTATTAAGATTCTCTCAATCCATGACTGTCGTTACAAGACCTAACAAAAAGTGCTGATGTCACTCAATATAAATTATGAAATGCCAAAAATACCCTCAGTGCCTTCTAATTGATCCATCTTCTACAGCCTCACTGCCTTCTAATTCACCTTCTACTCGTGTCATCACCAGTACCAACCCATTTACCATTGTCGCACCTCCCACAAAATTAGAAATATACATAAAGGTATATATATGTAAGATATTTATGTATACATATGTATATATATCAAACATATATATATTAAATCAAATTGAGATCTATATATATATACATCGGGAGATGTGTCCCTAGTACCTAAATTGAATAAAAAAATAGCCCCATCACCCTTCCCAATGGCTGGCCACCCTACGAAGATGTGAGGAACCTATTTTCAAGAATTGTAATCATGGTCTTCTAGAAACCCTAACACCTAGTACCCCTAAACTTGGGGTTTTGTTTCCAATGCTAGTTTCATTTCAACTTAAGACCAACTAGATATTGTCTAATCCCATGATTAAGCTCCCTAATCACTCCTATTCCATTAGACTCCAAGTAAATCCTAATTTTTCCATCCAATTCCAACTAGTGGGCCTTTATGTCTTTTTACACCAAAATTTGCCTATAAATATCACCACTTCCTAGCATGGCAAACACAAGCAACACACTCACACACACATTCGGCCTAGAGGAGAGGAAGGAGAGCAAGAGAGAAGTCTTGAGAGGGAGAGGAAGGAAGAAGAGAGCCATCTTGTTCAAAGCTTAGCAAGTAAGCCACAACACAACCTTCTCTTTCATTTTTCCTTTTTCAAATACATGTTCTTAAAGGTTTTAAATAATGTTTTCAGATGTATTATTGATTAGTTACTTGTGTTAAAAATGATAAGAGTTGAGCCTTGATCCTACCTCTCTTGGATTTTCCCTCATTTCGGCACAAAACCACCTTTTTCATACCAATCTTTCAAACTTTCCAAAGGCACACTGTAGACGCGCCCTTGGGCCTCACTACAGTTCGGACTCAATTTGTCATGGTTCTTAATCTAAACCAAAGAGTCCAAATCCGGCAAATTGTTTTGAGAAAAATAGATTTTTAGAAAAGAAGTGCCAAACATGGACTACTTTGCCAGATACAGAGTCACCACCTAAATATTTTTTATAGGGAAATTTAGGAAACCCTGACTCGGTGCCAAAGGCCACGTGTCCGTCATCACCAAAGTTGCCTCGGCTCGGGAGCTTGGGTACGATTGGGTCAACTCGTTCGATTAGAAGACGAAGAAGAGAGTGAGTCGATGACCGAGTTGTTCCCGAGTCTTGACGAGGTCGAGCAGATCATAGGTTACGATTTTAAAGATAAAAGTTTGTTGCGACGAGCCTTTACTCATAGCTCGTACAGAGACAAGAGCTATGAGCGACTCGAGTATCTGGGCGATTCAGTGCTGAATCTTTTGATAGCCAGTAGAGACTATTTTGGAAATCCGGATCTGCCACCAGGGAGGCTGACCCGGCTCCGAGCCGCCAATGTTGATACCGAGAAACTTGCACGTGTGGCTGTCAAGCATGATTTGTATAAGTATCTGCGGCACAAGAAACCCCTACTTGATGGACAAGTAAGTTTTTTTCGTCGCTTTGTTGTAGAGTTTAATTGAAAAGGCATTTTTAAAAAATATGGATACATTACACTTTGTCACTTTAAAATTTCATTCATTTTTCACTTTAGTTTTGTAAATTTAATTTTTTTCACTTTGACCTTTTATGTTTGTAATCCATTTCACTTTGACAATGCATATATGCAATCACTCTCATTTTATTCCTAGATTAATTTTCATCCAAAAAATTAATAAAATTTGCCACATCACTAATACATCAATTCCATGTGTGATGTAAAAAAATTCACTAAAGATGTAAATAATAAAAAATAGAAAACAAAAAAATTAGAATTTTTTTTTAGTATTTAGTGAACTTTTTTTTTTTTTTCAAATTTGTTCATAAACATTATTATATTATAGATGCATCTAGATTAGATGTAGCTAAAAAAATAAAAACTAATTTAACTATAAAAAAAAGTTTACTAAAGACGAAAAAAATGAAATTATACTAACTCAAATACCTATATTGTCAATTCTGAAATAAAAACTTTGCTATCATTTTTTTCATCTTTAGTGAACTTTTTTTATTATTTTTTTAGTTAAATTTGTTTGGGTAAATTACACTGACACCTCCTGAGGTTTCTGACAAATACAGGGACCTCCTCTGTGATTTCAATAATTGCAAAAACCTTTCCTACTTTAACTGACATTATCAAGATTCTCCCAATTTCTAATTGCCTTTACAAGACCTAACAGAAAGTGCTGATATCACTCATTATAAATTATGAAATGCCAAAAATACCCTCATTGCCTTCTAATTCACCTTCTACTCATGTCATTACCAGTACCAACCCATTTACCATTGTAGCACCTCCTACAAAATCAAAAATATACATAAAGACATATCTATATATATATATATATATTTCATAAATGTAAGATGCAACTGACCAAACCCACCACAAACCACCTTCACACCTTAAACCCACAAATATGTTAAACAACTCACCCCCAATGCCTCAAACCCACTAGGTCTATTAAATCCACCACCGCTGCCTCAACCCATTTGCGTTTGATTTCAAAAATCAATTCTACAAAGAGAGATGAGGTTTACTGTAAAGGTCAAAAAAATTGAGTAAAAAATCTTTTGTTGCAACCATGAGAAATGAGGGGAGAAAAAATAGAAGAAGAAGAAGAAGAAGAAAGGAAAGGCAATGAAAAGAAATAATGAACATAATAAAATTTAGAAAGATGGGATCTAATTTACAATGGGTTATGGGTATTGAGAGGAGAAAGAGAAAAATATGTTGCAGTAGATGGAAGATGAGAAACTAACTCTGCCCCATATGTGAAGCCCCTGAAAAATGCATTCTCTTTAAAACCCTAATGTTTGAATTATTTCCTTAAAGCCCTTCAGTTCCTTGAATTATTTCGAATCTTGTCGGTTAGCATTTTTTTTTATTTTTATCGAAACAGGAATATCCTAGCCAAATTAGGTTCCTTAGCCTAATTTAATTTAATTCTACATAAGTAAGGTTCCAATACATGAATTTAATTCTAAGCCCTCACTTCTTTATTTAAATTCAAAAATTTCCCCACAACAGTACATGTGCTTTTATATTATAAGTACCATCAATCAAATTGAGATCTATATATATATATATATATATACATTGGGAGATGTGTCCCTAGTACCTAAATTGAATAAAAAAATAGCATCACCCTTCCCAATGGCCGGCCACCCTACGAAGATGTGAGGAACCTATTTTCAAGAATTGTAATCATGGTCTTCTAGAAACCCTAACACCTAGTACCCCTAAACTTAGGGTTTTGTTTCCAATGCTAGTTTCATTTCAACTTAAGACCAACTAGATATTGTCTAATCCCATGATTAAGCTCCCTAATCACTCCTATTCCATTGGACTCCAAGTAAATCCTAATTTTTCCATCCAATTCCAACTAGTGGGCCTTTATGTCTTTTTACACCAAAATTTGCCTATAAATATCACCACTTCCTAGCATGGCAAACACAAGCAACACACTCACACACACATTCGGCCTAGAGGAGAGGAATGAGAGAAAGAGAGAAGTCTTGAGAGGGAGAGGAAGGAAGAAGAGAGCCATCTTGTTCAAAGCTTAGCAAGTAAGCCACAACACAACATTCTCTTTCATTTTTCCTTTTTCAAATACATGTTCTTAAAGGTTTTAAATAATGTTTTCAGATGTGTTATTGATGAGTTACTTGTGTTAAAAATGCTAAGAGTTGAGCCTTGATCCTACCTCTCTTGGATTTTCCCTCATTTCGGCACAAAACCACCTTTTTCATACTAATCTCTCAAACTTTCCAAAGGCACACTGTAGACGCGCCCTTGGGCCTCACTACAGTTCGGACTCAATTTGTCACGGTTCTTAATCTGAACCAAATAGTCCAAATCCGGCAAATTGTTTTGAGAAAAATAGATTTTTAGAAAAGAAGTGCCAAGCATGGACTGCTTTGCCAAATACAGAGTCGCCACCTAAATATTTTTTATGGGGGAATTTAGGAAACCCTAACTTGGTGCCAAAGGCCACGTGTCCGTCATCACCAAAGTTGCCTCGGCTCAGGAACTTGGGTACGATTGGGGAAGGTCAGCTATGAGCACCCCCTCTCGCCCGATCCGAAAATCGGCCTCTGCTAACCGTGATATCCTATTTTGAAAACGTTATGCGTTCTTATTCTGGTTATTAGCCTAGATTTATTACGTTATGCGCACAGCAAACAAGTATAGACTAGATCGCCTAATTTGGAACAAAACATTGCATATCCGTTTGTTTGGAAAACGCTTTGGAATTTGCTACTCACAAGTAGGCTAAAGTACGGATTTCAACGAGTTATCACAACTCAAACAATCCAACCTTCACCCACAGGGATTCAAGCAGTTCATCAAATAAGCATCTAGCCTCATGGTAATCATGATATTATGGTAACACTCGCACGCATGCAGTATGCTAAAGCATAAATGCTTACCGAGTACTCCAAGCAAGAACAGAAGCTAGTAAGTAATCATGTGCATGATCCTAGTTCATACTAAGATGGCTAATGCAACACATGCAAGATGTAACTACAATAGGCTCGGCTATCCTAATGATGGCATGTGAAATGCTGCAACTAACAGGTATTCAACTTGAAATTGAAATACAAGTGCAGTTAGTATGATGTACCGAGCCCGGTGCATGTAGGACAAATGTATGGATGCACGCATGCATAGCATAAGGTATGCTAATTTAAATATGCCCTAATACTAACCATCAAAAGCAGGTACGTAAAAGGGAGAAAGAAGTGGGGGATTGGAAGACATGCACACACGCACCCACACTTATTACAAGTTAGCCCTCACTCGGAGGGACCGAAAGAATAACATAATTCAACTAACTAACAAGCTAATTAAATATTACAAACCACCTAATTAATTAAGCAAATTAATTAATCTAATTTAAGCAATAAACAGCCTCGGGAAGAGGGTCCAATGCGATGCGTGCTCGGCTCAGCTCGGAAAGTCACTGCCATGCACAAGTTGCCTCTACTTTGACCGTTCTGCTTCTCTAAAGACTGCACAAGTCCCAGGGTTGCTTCTCTGAGTGCTGTGGAGCACCACCGGCCGTGAGGAATAGTCACCGGCCATGTAGAATGGTCATCGGCCATAAATCAATCCATCGGCCACTTATGGATGGCCAGTCGGCACTTAAGATGACTGGCCGACCAAATCTTCCTGCAAAAACTGGGTTGATAGCAGCAGAGGACAGAACTTGGCATGGCAATGCATTTCACGCAATGTATGCACCAACCACACTCCTTATCATATTTATGACTCAAAGGAGGATGGGCCTCGATTCGCGGGCCACCAATCACGTATTTCCATGCATGATGGCCCAAAGAATCAAGTATGCATGTTGATATGGAATGCAATGCACATAATCAAGCAAATTGAACTCAACCTCTATCACAAGCAATTCAAGAGGCGAAACATGCATGCCAATGCAATGCAATGCAATCCTAAGCATGTCGACTAGTATGCAACATGGACAATGCTAAGAAGCATACAAGGCATACAATGGTCATGCAAGGCATAGGGCATGAGACGATGCAACTAACAAGTATGCAAGGCACAATGTGGGCGTTCGAGCATGCAAGCAAGCATGTGACTTCATTCAATCATGCAACTCCAATCATGCAACAACACACAAATATGCAACAACATACAAGGTGGGCATATAACAGCATGCAAAGGGGTGGGCTTAAACTAACATGGGTAGCTTGCAAGCTTGCCAAAATCAGTGGCCAATACTATGGAAGTGAGGTCCAACACACACACACACATGCATGCAAATATGGTCCAACACTTAAGCATATGAAGACAACTTGTAAGCACAAAAACATGGACTAATGACATGCAACATAAGCTCTGAAAATCATGTTAAAATGGTGCCAAACCAAGCCAACAAGACAAGCATAAGCATACAATTAGAGGTCCAAAACTCAAGGCAAGCTAAGGAGGTATTGAACTACCCTTAGCAAAACCAAACATGGCATGAATTAAATGACCAAAAACGAGTTTTAACATATTAAGACAAAGCCTAAGGACCACTTAGATGGCATCTAAATGACTTAAATTCAAGGGCATGCACAATGACCAAACATGGAGCATAAGGCACAACCTCATAAGGCATCAAAGAGGCATCAAAAGGGCAAGCATGCAAAGCATGTCCATGAAGCGTCTGAAATACACATACCAAGTGATTCCAAACGCACTGAACAAAAGCAAGGATGGCATGCTACGAGAAGGCCAAAGCTTAGGCATTCAAGAGGGATGCAATGGTAAGCTATACAAAGCCAGACATGAATACTCAAATGAACCTAAAACAGTCCCATTAGCACAA